GGGGGCTGGTAAAGTTTTACTTTTACTAATCAAGCACTGATAAAAAGATAGATTTAAATTAAATGTCTTACCTGGTCTGATCTCCCGCTTAAAGTTGATGTTGATCAAACAAAAGTGCAGGACGATGGGGCAGTTGGGGTCCCACGGATGCTTGAAGACGTAGCACTCTTTTAGCCCCTCCCTCTCCACCACGGTAGGGTCGATGGGCGGGAACGGAACTTTGTTTAGCTCCGCCCACTTTGCAGCCAAAAGCAGCTCCTGACAGAAGAAATAAAGGAAATAATTAACAATAATTTAAACTATAAGAACAGACGTTCATGATGATATGCTTACTTATACTTTTATCCGCCGCTTATACCCTTTTGGGTGTCGCGGGAAGAAAGAGACTTCTCTCTGTCGCCAGCCGGAGAGCTTGGGCCACGGGGATGCCGTGGGTGGTTAATGTTTCCCTGACTCCATCTATCCAGGTCTTTCTCGGTCGCCCTCTAGCCTTGTTGCCATCGAATTTCTGGATGTAGGCACGTTGTGCTGGATAGTGTGTTGGTAATCGTAAGATGATATGCACACCGCAGAAAGTTTCGTCAAATCCTAGTTGATATGGTTTGATGCACGGTAGGGAGCTGCCAGATTTTCCTTTTAGTTTAGTTTAGTAAGAGTTTTACGGCACTTCACAACTGCATACGTTTTTTTGAGCGCTATTTCCTTTATGTCGTCAATAGTCTAGTATAACAAGAAAAGTGTTAGATTGGAACCCAGAGGGTAAAAGATCAAGGGGATGACCTCGTGGAACCTGGAGAACAGTCACGGACATGGATGTACAGAAAAGTGGAAAGACGTGGAGTGACATCAAGCGACTAGGCCAGGATAGGGAAAGGTGGAGAGTGTTTGTTCGTGGCCTATATCCTGACCCAGGGAGAGAAAGGCAATGATGATGAGTCTAGTGGTTAAGCTACCGGACTCGTAATAAAGAAGTCGCCGGTTCTGGGTTCAAATCTCAAGCCCGACATTGCGTTCTTGGGTGAGGCACTTTACATGAACTTTCCTCACTTCACCCACATGTGATTGGGTACCCGGCCATAGACAGCAAGATATCTTGTCCGTATGTTAGTGTCTTAGCGAATGTAAAAAAACCACACACACAAACACAACGATAATAATAA